GGGGGGGATTGCTTGTGTGTTTTGCTGTTCTGTTGTTGTGGTAGTTACGGGGTGATGGGACTCACCTTTCGATGTACAAAATGTTTTGATGAAAGTGGGGAGGAGGCGATTTTCTCTTTCTTTGAATTCAGCTTTAACATTTATAAAAATGCCATGTCTCTGCTTTACGGCTCTCTCTCTCTCTCTATATATATATATATATATTGTTGTTGTTGTTCATTTCTTGTTATCTCTTTTGTAAACGAAGAGGTAAGACTCTCTGTTCTGCAACTATTGTAACTTCAAAGACGTCATCCTTTGGAGAGGCCTAAAAGTAGGATGCATCAATTGAGAAGTGGTGAGACCGCCAAGGTTGTTTGCCTCATCATTGTCGCTGCTGCATCGGGAATTCTTCTCAGGAATCTTTTTCTGTGTTACAAAAATAGACAGTGTGGTAAGGAGGACAGGCCCGAGGGAAACTGCATCTTTGGAAGGAAGAAGAAGGTTTTAATTCGTCCGGTGTCGGCTATAGAGTGCCGCGGTTTTACAAAGGAGGAGCTTCAAGAATATGATGGCATCCGAAAGAGTGATATCTATGTTAGTGTCAAGGGTGTGGTGTATGAAGTGGCCCCGCAGCTCTACGGTCCGGGGAAGTCGTATCATGTATACGCTGGACGTGAGATCTCGCGCTGTCTCGCCAAATCTGATGTGTCAAGTAAGGAGGCGAACAAGGATTGGGAACACGGCTTCAGCAAGGAAGAAATGGCGGTGTTGGATTGGTGGGCAAACAAATTTAATTCGAAGTATCCTGTGGTGGGGTGGTTTGTGCCGGATAAAGACTTCTACACTGAAACGCATGATACTATTCCTCAATCCTTGTGAGGTTGGTGCGTCTGTTTGCACATAGAGCATTTTTTTTTTTGTACGTAACTACTTATTTCGTCCACGTGGAGATGCCTGATCTATTGGCTGCTGGTGTTGTTTTCAATGCTCTTGAAGTGTATTGTGTGCTCCTCCTGCATCTTTGTTGCCACCTACTGGCTCCTAATGCTGCTATTTTCCACTTCGGTCTTCTTTTTTCCCCTGCACATGTTGACACAATTGCAGCGAAGGCTCGGTGGGGGGTGGAGCACACGCACTCACATTGAGAGGAGGGAGGGAGGGGGGGAGAAAAAAAAACAAAGCTCTTTTACTGCACAGAGGACACACGCAACATTCATCCAAAGGAAAGAAAAGTTTGGCGGTGAGAAGGAAGGTGCTCCCTCACAAAGGAAACAAGGAGCAAAAGGAAAGAAAGGGACTCCAGGACAATTGCTGCCACCCAATTTGTGTTTCAACTGCTACTAACAGCTGATCTTGTTGTTGCTATATTGTTTTGGTTTTCAGACCACGCCATCCAAACGGTACGGGAAGAAAAAGAAGGATAAAAAAGGAAGGCACATTCATTACACACACACACACAGACACACACACACACACAAACACA